GTCTCCTCCAGTGTTCAGTGTGGGGTCTCCTCCAGTGTTCGGTGTGTGTGGGGTCTCCTCCAGTGTTCAGTGTGTGTGGGGTCTCCTCCAGTGTTCGGGGTGGGAGTCTCCTCCAGTGTTCAGTGTGGGGTCTCCTCCAGTGTTCGGTGTGGGGTCTCCTCCAGTGTTCGGTGTGTGTGGGGTCTCCTCCAGTGTTCAGTGTGTGTGGGGTCTCCTCCAGTGTTCGGGGTGGGAGTCTCCTCCAGTGTTCAGTGTGGGGTCTCCTCCAGTGTTCGGTGTGTGTGGGGTCTCCTCCAGTGTTCAGTGTGTGTGGGGTCTCCTCCAGTGTTCGGGGTGGGAGTCTCCTCCAGTGTTCAGTGTGGGGTCTCCTCCAGTGTTCGGTGTGTGTGGGGTCTCCTCCAGTGTTCAGTGTGTGTGGGGTCTCCTCCAGTGTTCGGGGTGGGAGTCTCCTCCAGTGTTCAGTGTGGGGTCTCCTCCAGTGTTCGGTGTGTGTGGGGTCTCCTCCAGTGTTCAGTGTGTGTGGGGTCTCCTCCAGTGTTCGGGGTGGGAGTCTCCTCCAGTGTTCAGTGTGGGGTCTCCTCCAGTGTTCGGTGTGGGGTCTCCTCCAGTGTTCGGTGTGTGTGGGGTCTCCTCCAGTGTTCAGTGTGTGTGGGGTCTCCTCCAGTGTTCGGGGTGGGAGTCTCCTCCAGTGTTCAGTGTGGGGTCTCCTCCAGTGTTCGGTGTGTGTGGGGTCTCCTCCAGTGTTCAGTGTGTGTGGGGTCTCCTCCAGTGTTCGGGGTGGGAGTCTCCTCCAGTGTTCAGTGTGGGGTCTCCTCCAGTGTTCGGTGTGTGTGGGGTCTCCTCCAGTGTTCAGTGTGTGTGGGGTCTCCTCCAGTGTTCGGGGTGGGAGTCTCCTCCAGTGTTCAGTGTGGGGTCTCCTCCAGTGTTCGGTGTGTGTGGGGTCTCCTCCAGTGTTCAGTGTGTGTGGGGTCTCCTCCAGTGTTCGGGGTGGGAGTCTCCTCCAGTGTTCAGTGTGGGGTCTCCTCCAGTGTTCGGTGTGGGGTCTCCTCCAGTGTTCGGTGTGTGTGGGGTCTCCTCCAGTGTTCAGTGTGTGTGGGGTCTCCTCCAGTGTTCGGGGTGGGAGTCTCCTCCAGTGTTCAGTGTGGGGTCTCCTCCAGTGTTCGGTGTGTGTGGGGTCTCCTCCAGTGTTCAGTGTGTGTGGGGTCTCCTCCAGTGTTCGGGGTGGGAGTCTCCTCCAGTGTTCAGTGTGGGGTCTCCTCCAGTGTTCGGTGTGTGTGGGGTCTCCTCCAGTGTTCAGTGTGTGTGGGGTCTCCTCCAGTGTTCGGGGTGGGAGTCTCCTCCAGTGTTCAGTGTGGGGTCTCCTCCAGTGTTCGGTGTGTGTGGGGTCTCCTCCAGTGTTCAGTGTGTGTGGGGTCTCCTCCAGTGTTCGGGGTGGGAGTCTCCTCCAGTGTTCAGTGTGGGGTCTCCTCCAGTGTTCGGTGTGGGGTCTCCTCCAGTGTTCGGTGTGTGTGGGGTCTCCTCCAGTGTTCAGTGTGTGTGGGGTCTCCTCCAGTGTTCGGGGTGGGAGTCTCCTCCAGTGTTCAGTGTGGGGTCTCCTCCAGTGTTCGGTGTGTGTGGGGTCTCCTCCAGTGTTCAGTGTGTGTGGGGTCTCCTCCAGTGTTCGGGGTGGGAGTCTCCTCCAGTGTTCAGTGTGGGGTCTCCTCCAGTGTTCGGTGTGTGTGGGGTCTCCTCCAGTGTTCAGTGTGTGTGGGGTCTCCTCCAGTGTTCGGGGTGGGAGTCTCCTCCAGTGTTCAGTGTGGGGTCTCCTCCAGTGTTCGGTGTGTGTGGGGTCTCCTCCAGTGTTCAGTGTGTGTGGGGTCTCCTCCAGTGTTCGGGGTGGGAGTCTCCTCCAGTGTTCAGTGTGGGGTCTCCTCCAGTGTTCGGTGTGGGGTCTCCTCCAGTGTTCGGGGTGGGAGTCTCCTCCAGTGTTCAGTGTGGGGTCTCCTCCAGTGTTCGGTGTGGGGTCTCCTCCAGTGTTCAGTGTGGGGTCTCCTCCAGTGTTCGGTGTGGGGTCTCCTCCAGTGTTCAGTGTGTATGGGGTCTCCTCCAGTGTTCGGTGTGGGGTTTGCCAAGTGGACTCTGTTCTCGGAGAAGGCTGAGGCTCCAGTCCTCTGGGCACTGGGATGGAGGTGCGCCCTAGCTTCCTCCCAGGGCTCAACAGGTAGAACGTTCTTGTGGGACACATCTGTGCTGGACTTAGAGCAGAGTGGTGGGGTCTCCTCCAGTGTTCGGTGTGGGGTTTGCCAAGTGGACTCTGTTCTCGGAGAAGGCTGAGGCTCCAGTCCTCTGGGCACTGGGATGGAGGTGCGCCCTAGCTTCCTCCCAGGGCTCAACAGGTAGAACGTTCTTGTGGGACACATCTGTGCTGGACTTAGAGCAGAGTGTGGGGTGCCAATGAACAGATGGGGGTGGGGGTGCAGCTCCAAGTTCTGCGGCCCAGACACAGCCAGGCTTTTTCCCCATTCAGCCAGGGCTGGGGAGGGTTGGCTAACACATTTTTGAGTGCAAAATGTAAAACACCTAGATTTGGCTTCACTAAGACTGGGGGTGTCACTTCTTTGGACCCCAAAGCTGCGACTTTTCCCAGATGTGTGTTCTAACCTCTGACCCAGCACTTTAGCAAGCCAAGGGCTCCTGAATGGCTTTTGCAGCTCTGAGGTCACCAGCCTGGCTGGCTGTATCAGGGTGTGACCTACCCCAAGAGCTCAATGGAGCAAAATCAGGGACGTGGGGGCTGAGCAGGTTAGTTTGTGTGAGGACTTTCAAAGCTTTGGGGAGTGGATTGAGACAGGGCTTCACTGTGTAGACCACAATGGTCTCAAACTCACAGAAATCTGCCTGCCTCTGCCTCCCAAGTGCTGGGATTAAAGGTATGTATTTACCACACCTGGCTGGCTTTCAAAGCCTCTAAGTCTGTAGGCAGAAGGTCCCAGGGTAGTCTACTTGGGTTTCTCTGGTTTCATTGTCTGAGTCACCTGGGTGGGAGGAGGTGATGTTGGGAAGCGATAGCATCCAAGCATGAGGTGGAGGGGACTTCACACTTGAGCCCTGCTTCCAACCCCCTCCTCACCCTGTACCTGTATTTCCAGGCTCTTTTCAAAGCTAGGTGTGTGTGTGTGTGTGGGGGGGGTGTCTCTCTACAGACCTCACAGCACAGATGTGAGGTTATAGAACCAGTTGAATGAAGTTAACCATATTTGATGGTGTTTGACCCAGACCATGTAATTTCACCTGACTCAGTGTAAAGTGAAAGATAGCAATGTGTTAGAGAAGCTGGATCTACCTTATCTCGAGGCAGGTGGAGGATAGAGGATGCGGCCGCCCCTGGCTGGGCCCTGGCCTTGCCACCAGAGACTAAGGGATGGCCCAAGGACACCAGCTGGCAGAGCCACTAACAATGGCAGGACAGAGAATAGAATGGATGGTGTGATCTGAGGGTCAGACGGCACAATCCAAAGATCCTCACTAAGAGTGACCCTGACACCTAGGGCTCGGGGGGTCCTTCGAGGACCGATATTGCTTCCCAATGGTCTTTCAAACTCCTGTCCAGGTTACAGAACCCAACCCAAAGATTTCCCATCACTGTTTGGGCAATCCCAAACCGTTTGGGCAGGTGACCAAGAGCATCCCTCATGTGACTCGAGCACAGAGATGTTCCTCTAAGACTGGTCAGGAGGAGGCCACATTGAGGGATTTTACTCTGAACAGCAGGTCAAACTTTAGGATTGTCCTTGTTGACTTGAATGGCACCTGGAGCTCTGCTCACTCGGGTTTCCACGTCCCCTACTCCTCCTGTACACATGGTGTCTTCTCAGTTGCCTCGGATGATAGGACACCAGCTACCAGGAGGAAGCACACCCCTCCTCTGACACCAAGGAATGCTGCGGTGCTGTGTGTCTCAACACCCTGGTCTCCATGCACGACATACTCCCAGGAGACTTAGGGTTCACAGCCAGCCCCATGCTGAGTTTCCTCCTAGCCTTGACCCTGGTGGGAAAGTCACCTAAGAACATGACAGCTTTTCCTTGGCCACAGAAGGCTATTTCCCTCTTTTTTGTGAACACTAAGTGATTAGTTGCTGTGCAACACAGGAGGTGTTTGCTGAGGAGTTGGGGTCACAGTCTGCTCTGGTCTCTCTCTTTAAAAAATTATTATTATTATTATTAATTAATTTTTTTTTGGTCTTTTTGAGACAGGGTCTCCCTGTAGCCCTAGCTGGCCTGGATTCGCTATGGAGACCAGGCTGGCCTTGAACTCACAGAGATCCGCCTGCCTCTGCCTCCCGAGTGCTGGGAGTAAAGGCATGCGCCACCATGCCCGGTTAAAAAAATTATTTTTTGGTGTGTATACATGGCCAGAGTGCTATCTATGGTGGGTGTGTGGAGGACAGTGGACAACTTGCAGGAGTCAGTTCTGTCCTTCTACCATGTGGACTGTGAACATCAAACTGAGGTCGTCAGACTTGGCAGCAAGCACCTTCAGAGGCTGAGCCATCCCGCCGGCCCCTGGTCTTAGCCGCCATGTTGCAGGGTGGGGTTTGGAGAATGAGTGTGGGAAAAATCCATCCCTCCAGGTGTGTCCACCTGTCCTGAGGGCTGCACACACCCCAGGATAGCTCTTAAAGTGGCTCAACACAAAATCCCAAACTTACTTAAAATGTGATTTTTTTTTTTCAATTTCTTTGTGGGTAACAATATCATACCAAGGTACCAAAAGGTTGGACACATCTGGGAGACCTTCTAGATCAGTAGATGACTGAGAGAGACAACTGACAAAGTGGTCCCAAATGTCCTCTGTAGGCAACGTATTTTAGAGATGGGGACCAAGCGAGCCTTGAGATCTCACATCACGCTGGAAGGTGGAGGTAAGAGCCCTTGTGGGGATCCCTGCCCTGGACCCCACTGGCTCCCACAGAGCAACAGCTGCCCCCGTGCTGTGAACCTGGCTGGCAGCTCACTCACCGATGTCTTTGGCTCTGATGGCCACTGGCCTCCGGAGCTCCGTGACGAACTTTTTGGCATCCAGGCGAATTTCAATGATGTTGTTCAGCAGGGCAAACAGCGGAGCCAGAGGAAAGGACGCAACGAAGAGGGTGACAAAGCCAAACTGGATGACTGTGGGAGAGTGATACGGTCAGCACCTGCCACCCTGCGCCCAGCAAGATTCATACTGGGGCTGGGAACCCCACTTCGGAGGAGCCCACCTGCATGGACCTCTCAGAGGGCCAGCACCATGGGGGTCGAGCTTCAGGCCCAGGCGCTGCGGGCAAAAGTCCCAGTCACGGAAACTGGACGTGGTTGGTCTCAAAATTGGGACAATCCTTCTGTCTCAGCCTCCCAAGTGCTGTGATTACAGGCGTGTGCCAACATGCCTGGTGTGATTCTGTGTGCGTGTGTGTATGTGCGCGTGTGCGTGTGTGTGTGTGTGTGTGTGTGCACGTGCATGGAAGCCAGAACCTCAGATGTCATTCCTCAAGTGCCTTAAAGATTAAAAAACTGTTTAAGCCAGGCATGGTGGCACACACCTTTAATCCCAGCACTCGGGAGGCAGAGGCACGCGGATCTCTGTGAGTTGGAGGCCAGCCTGATGGACATAGTGAGTTCTAGGCCAGCTGGGGCTAGAGGGAGACCCTGTCTCAAAAAAGACCAAGAAATAATTTTAAAAATTTATTTTTATTTTATGTGTTGACTGTTTGGTGCTGGGATTCGAACCTGAGCAGTGCTCTTATCTGCTGGGCCATCTCTCCAGCCCCACAGCCCCATTTTTTTTTTTTTTTTTTTTTTTTTTTTTTGAGATAGAGGCCTTTCTCCGGGACTTGGGACTCACAGATTAGTCTAGACTGACTGTCCAGAAAGCCATCCTGTCTCTACTCTCCAGAGTTGTGATTACGAATGTGCATTACCAAACTCAGCTTTTTAAGCGGGGCTGGGGGTGCTGGACTCAGATCCTCACTTTACTGACCGAGCCACCTCTCCAGCCCCTTGTGTCATTTTTATACTTGTCTATAATGCGTTTTGACTTTCTTCACCCTTTATGCTTTTAGCTCTATAGATCTGATCTTATAGAATCACTGACCTTTAGAAAATCCCAGCACACCCAGGGCCTGGCACACCCCCTCCCTGTACCCAAGGGGAAAAGTTTTGGCTGTGACCCTGGTCTCCCATCGCCAGAGGCTCCCCGGGAGCAAGGAAGTTCCCATCACTGTATCTGGGAGTCCGTCCCTTTGTTCTCCATCAGGCCTTGGGGAGTGGGTGGCCATACCAGCTCCCACTTGCTGGTTACCACAGCAAGGAGCCAACTCTGAGCTTCTTCAGCCCTGGAAGCTGCCACCAGCCTGTGTGGGGCTATAAGCAGGTCAGGAAGAGGTCACAGAAGGGACTTGAGCCGGGAAATATCCAGGAGCTGTCTGGCAGGACCCAGTTCAAGGGCACTCCGTGCCAGGTGGTAAACAAGGAAGCGGAATGTTGTCCTGTGCCCGGCTGCCTGAGTGTGGCCATTGTTACCATGAGGGTGGGCAGGGCAGAAGGCTGTGGGAACCCTTGTTTCCTAGCTGTCTTGGTGACCTCCCACTGACCCTGATGTGTGGCTAACTGGGTGGGACATCTCTGCTAATCTCTGGAGGTACTAGGGGCTCAGGACAGCTGTGTACCATGGCTCTGTATGTGGGCTGGGGTCGCTGAGGCTCAGGCTGGGGGTCTCTGCAGGTGGGTTTTCTTAATGATTTTTGGTCTGTTTGCTTGCTTATTTGTTTTTCGGACAAGGCTTCCTGGTAGCCCCAGTTGGCCTAGAACTTGCTATGTAGATCAGACTGGCCTCGATCTCACAGAGATGCACTTGCCTAGGTCTCTTAAGTATGCCATCACACCTAGCTCACATGGTCTGTTTGTTTATTTATTATTTATTTATTTATTTATTTATTTATTTCAGGGAATCATGTTGACAGGGTGGCCTCAAATTCACCTTGAATTTCTGATCCTCCTGCCTCACTTTCCATGGGCCAAGACTATAGGCATGCTCCACCACGCCTGGTTTAGGTGGTGCTGGAGAATGAACCCAGGGCCTCCTGCATGCTAGGTGAGCACTCTACCAACTTGAGCTATAGCCCCAGCCCAGGACTTCCTACTTCTGAGTGATGGTGCTGCCTGGGGCTGAACACTGGCGGGGGGGGGGGGGGGGATGAGACTGGGGAACTTGGGGGCTTTTTTAACCAGGAGGAAAAAAGACAAGTTATGGCTGCCCCGTTCCCTAGGTGTGTCTCTTCTGAATCTTGGGGTGAGATACTTCCTGCCAAGCATTAGGGCAGCTGGGGGCCACCTGCTTGGGACCACTTGAGTGAACATGGAGAGTGGCCGGGAAGTGACAGAGGCTCCACCGGTGTGCTGCGTGCAGCCTGAAGGTCACCTGTTCTATGCTGCCCTCCAGGCTGAGTGCTGGAGGCTACATGCCAGGCCTGCCCTGTCATAACCATGGAAAATGTAGCCTGGGACAGACTCTCCCTGCTAGGACTTGGGGTGGGCCTTAGACAGCATTTTTGAGTCCTACCTATGGTGTCTGGGGGCTCTGCAGTGTAAAACCCCCTGTGCTTGAGTCTTCCTGACTGCCTGTGTTCATCTATGCATCCAGTGAACATGCATTGAGCTCCTGCTGTTTACCAGGGTCTGCTCTAGGGGGAGGGCGCAGTAACGAAGAGAGGTCAGTCCAGCACAGACAGAAAAGGAGGTGTAACTGATGGCAGTGGCTGGCTACCGAATTGCGAACAAAGGGAGGAGGGGGTCCTGGGTACGGGGTACCGGGGAGCACTGTCCCTTTTAAGTCACTGAGACCGGGGAAGACCCTTATTGGGGAAGTCCTGAGCAGAGTCCTGGTGGAAGGGAGAGGGAGACATGCAGGTATCCGAGGGATAGTGACAGCATCTCAGTATGGAATGAGTGCAGAGGTCCTGGTGACAGGCCTCACAGAAGCACACGTTTGCAGCACACTGGGAAAGCAGGGGGCCTGGGAGGCTCCAGGCTCACAGAGGCCACACCTGGCCTTGTCCGTTTCCCTATGGCCATCTCTGAGCATTACATGCCATCTCTCATCACGATCTCCGGTGCAGAGACACCCGGTACCCAGGTAACTGACCGGCACCCAAAGGCTCAGGAAAAAGAGAAGATTTGTAGACTCAAAGGAGGAGTCTAAAGGGGTGTGGGTGTGGCATTTCTGCTGCTGGGGGCTGCCATGGTGGGGGAGGGGAGGGCGAAGGACGCATTGCTTGGTCTATGGGTCACATCCTGTGACAGTGACAGGGTGCTACCTGTCCTGGGGCATGGAAGGTGAGGTCAGAGGTGGCAGAGCCTACAGTCTCTTCCTGCTTCTCTGCTGGACGCTGCTAGAGGGATAAGGGCCCCCAAGGATCGGCTGGGGGCACCCCAGTCTGACAGCCCCTTCTTTGTTTCTGATCTTGGTGGCCTACTTCATTTGTGTGTGTGTGTGTGCATGTGTACATGTTCATATGTGTGTGTGTGTGTGTGCAGGAGTGAGTGCACATGTGTGCCAGTGTATGTGGAGGCCAGAGGTCAATCTTCCACCTTTTTCTTTGAGACAGGGTCTCCCTGTAGCCCCAGCTGGCCTGGAACTCCTCACAGAGCTCTGCTTGCCTCTCTGTATTTTTTAAACACAGGGTCTCACATTGGTCAGGAACTCACCAAGTAGGCTGCAGTTTGAGGGGAAATGGGTCAGGTTCAGGAACCCTCTTGTCCCTGCTTCCTCGAACCCGGATTATAAGCATACAGCACCATGCCCAACTTTTTGTTTTGTTTTTTTAAAATGTCTTTTTTATATTTTATTTATTGTTTTTATTTTATGTGTATGAGTGTAATGCCTGCATATAGGTAAGTGCATCTGTGTCATGCAATGCCCTTGGAGGTCAGAAGAGGACATCAAATCCCCTGGAACTGGAGTTATGGATGGTTGTTAGCCGCCATGTGGGTACTGGGACTCAAACTCGGGTCCTCTGCAAGATCAGCTGGTGCTCTTAATTGCTGAGTCATCTTTCCAGCCTCTTGAGCCCTTGGGCTGCAAGGACTCTATGGACTGAGGGTCTCCCTAGCCCCCGCCTCTTTTTCTTTCTTTGTCTTTTTGAGACAGGGTCTCCCCAGCTGGCCTGGAACTCACTATGGAGACCAGGCTGGCCTCGATTTCACAGATGTCCTCCTGCCTCAGCCGTGCGCTCCCACGCCAGCTCCGTGAATCTTTTCCCAGCCCGCACCCAGGGCCTATGCCACGCCAGGTCGGCCCTGGACACTCACTCATCTCCATGTACTCTGGCGTGAGGCCGGCGAATGGCTCAAGGTTGAAATCCACCTCGTACCGCTGCTTCCTCTTCACGTACTCCTCATGGTCGGAGGGGCTCTGCCGGCGCAGCCTCAGGTAGCGGATAAACTTCTTCATCTTCCTGCAGGGTGTGCCGTGTCAGCAGGTGCCCCAGTGCGGGGCTGGACCCCGCAGTATCTCTGAGATACGCTTTTGTCTGCTCTGTGCCCGAACCACTGGCTTTGGGTCTCACTGTGTAGCCCTGCCTGGCCTGGAACTTACCGTATAGACCAGGCTGAATTTGAGCTCACAGAAATCCACCTCCTCTGTCTCTGGAGTGTTGGGATTAAAAGCATGCACCACCACACCCTGCTAGGATGCATTGTTGAGGGGAGCAGTTTCCTCTGGTCTGCCCACCTTCGACCCTGACAGGTGGGGAGAGCTCATATTTTATGTGTATGAGTGTAATGCCTGCATGTGTGTAAGGGCACTCATGGAGCATAAGGCCCTTGGAGGTCAGAAGAGGGCATTGAATCCCCTGGAACTGGAGTTATAGACGGTTAGCTACCGTGTGGTGTTGGGAACTGAACTCAGATCCGGCCACCTATGGCCATGGAAGGCCCCAGGAGAAACACAGGAAGCATAGGCTATGGCCTAAGATCCTGACCCCAGGGAGCCTGCGCCTCTGAGGAGCAAGGTGGGGGGTATAAGCTCCTGGTTCTGCACCTGCCCACCCGGGATCCCGCACAGGTGACTGCAGTGGGATGGTACCCTCAATCCCAGCCAGCTCCGAGGGTGCGAGTCCTCCCATCTCCTGTCCACAATGGGGTGACTTTTGCTCCATCTTCCCCCCTTTCCACCGCCCTGTTTCTACTGTTCCTCATCCTACTGGTGGCTCCTGCCTGACCTGTCACCGAGACCGTGCAACAGCCCACCGGAGGGCCCCCATCCCCACCGGCCCACGGCCAGCGCCACTCACGGGATGCCGATTTCGAAGAGGTTGTTTTGGATCAACTGCTTGCCCAGCATGATGATGCTCAGCTGGATGCAGAGCTCCATGAGGCAGCCGCCTGGTGCACACTGTGGGACAGAGAGCGCATCAGACCCAGCTGGGCCCTGGGCAGGGTGCAAGGCTGACCTCCAGCTTGTGCAGTGACTAAAGCCCTCTTCTAAAAAATTTATTTAAGCTGGTGTGGTGGCGCACGCCTTTAATCCCAGCACTCGGGAGGCAGAGGCAGGTGGATCTCTGTGAGTTCAAGGCCAGCCTGGTCTACATAGTGAGTTCCAGGATAGCGGGGGCTACAGGGAGACCCTGTCTCAAAAAGACCAACCCCCCCAAAAAAATACATTTATTCGTGGGACTGGAGAGATGGCTCAGCGGTTAACACTGGCTGTTCTTGCAGAAGACCCAGGTTTGAATCCCAGCACCCACACGGCAGCTAACAACTGTCTATAACTCCAGTTCCAGGGAATCCGACAGCCTCTTCTGACCTCCTTGGGTATTCCACGACACAGGTGCACTTACCTACACGCAGGCAATACACGCATACACATAAAATAAAAATGTTTGTATTTATTTTTATGTGTACAAGTGTTTTGTCTGCATGAATGTAAGTGTATCACGTGCATGCAGTGTCTGCAGAGGCCAGAAAAGAGCATCGGATCTCCTGGAACTGGAGTTATGGATGATTTAGCTATCATGTGGGTGCTGGGAACTGAACCCGGGTCCTCTGCAAGAGAAGCTGGTGCTCTTAACTGCTGAGCCACCTCTCTAGCCCCAACTCATATCCTCTTAAAAGACACAGATTTGGGCCTGGGGAGCTGATGAGAGCATAAGAGCTGTGTAAACATAAGGTTCCAAGTCTGAATCAGCATTCACTCGAAAAGCCAGGCACGACTGCGTGTGTCTGTTATCTCAGCATTGGGGGCAGGCACAGGTAGATCACGGAAGCCTCTGTGGCCAGCCTGGCTTGGTGAAGCAAAGCTTTTGGTTCAGGGAGAGAACTTGTCTCAAAGCAATAGGCAGAGAGTGACAGAGGACGCCACCTGATATCCTTGTCTAGCCTCCATACACACACACACACACACACACACACACACACACACACACACAGACGGGGTGGGGGGGATGTTGTTCAGGTCTTCATTCCTGGAGCCGAGAGAACGATTCCTTATTTGGAATCGTTTGCTGATAGACTAGTTAAGGTAGGTGAGGCTGTGCTGCTACCAGGGGCGTGCCTGCTCCACTGACCAGTGTCCTCAGGAGGAGAGCACAGAGCCCCAGAGGAGATGCAGCCCAGGGGGACAGAGGCCGAGGCTGGAGTGAAACAGAAAGGTCACTAAGGAGCCAGGTTACAGACTTCTAATCTCGACACTGGGGAGGTAGAGGCAGGAGGATCAGGAGTTCAATGTCAGCCTAAACTACAGAAGTTCAAGGTCAGCCTGGGCTATATTACACCTTGTCTCAAAAAAAAAAAAAATTAAAAAAAGGAAGGGGCAGAGGAGTCAGCTCAGTCAGCAAAGAGGAGGACGTGAGTTCCATCCCCAACACCAACAGAAGAAGCCTGGGGTGGTGGTGTGTGCTTGTAATCCCAGCACTGGAGTGGTGGTGTGTGCTTGTAATCCCAGCACTGGAGTGGTGGTGTGTGTTTGTAATCCCAGCACTGGAGTGGTGGTGCGTGCTTGTAATCCCAGCACTGGAGTGGCAGAGGCAGGATGAGCCCTGGGGCTTGCTGGCCAGCCAGTGCATTACCTGATGAGCCCCAGGTATGCACTTCCGTGCCTGGTGTTTTATGTGGGTACTGGGGGTCAAACTCAGGTGCAGAAGACCTGTATTTATCACCATACCCAGCTTTCTTTCTTTCTTTCTTTCTTTCTTTCTTTCTTTCTTTCTTTCTTTCTTTCTTTCTTTCTCTCTCTCTCTCTCT